TGTATTGATTAACTTTTCATTAACTTGACACAGCTGGAGCTATCTGGGTAGAAGTTGTTTTAACTCAGAAAAATGCCCTTCCTCATGTGCACTTTCATAGGCATTTTCTTGTTTAATGATTGATGTGGGAGGATCCATTGCATTGTAGGTGATGTCATTCTTGGGCAAGTAGTCCTGGGTTTTATAAAAACGCAGGATGAATGCTCCATGGAGACATGGTCTCTGCCTCTATGTTCCTGCTGAACTTGAATTCATGCTTTGGCTTCCCTTAATGATGGACTATGATTAGGATGTGTAAGCCAAATAAAACCTCTCCTCACCAAGTTGCTTTTGATCATAGCAATAGAAAGTAAAGTAGGATATGTACGATAAAATTCTACCCCACAACAAGAAATGTTACACATACATTGTATTGATAAACATTTAAAATGTTAAGCTGAAGAAGCCAGACTATATACTGTGTGAATCATTTTTATACAATTCAAACTAGTGTAGGATAACAAGAAGCTGATTGTTAGTTGCCCAAAGGGTCATGAAAGGGGGAATAATTACTACAAGAGAACAAGAACATTCAGAAGCAGTAGGAATGTTTGCTATTTTTCTCATAGGGATGGCTCCATGTTTTGCATGTGTCAAAATTCATCTGATATTATGTACAGTATATTATGTCATACATGTATATACATATATGTTTATATAGGATATCTGTATATATGTGTATTTATTATATATGTATATATTACTGAGAGTAAATATTTGATCAAGAAGAAGATACTAAAGGCTGCAATTCAGCCTCTTTAGCAGAGCTTCCCATGGTGAGTCAATTTAGTTTGCTCATCTCATGGACCATGATATCAATTCACATGATGATCATCATCAACTAGCATGCTTCAAATAAACAGAGCATGTTCATGTGTTCATTGTTCTAAATGCATTAGTACACAGTGTGGCTCCCCTGTTTACATGACATTACCCATCTTTCATTGATAACTCTGCACATTTGAAACCTATTTGCCCAAATGATACACATAGTTTCTGGAGAAAGCGTGTGTGTGTGTGTGTGTGTGTGTGTGTGTGTGTGTGTGTGTGTGCATGTGTGCATGTGCAAAGTAATTTAGTCATTTTCTGGTTCATTCTTGTGCCTTAAGCACTTTAACCACAGAATTCCCCTGACCCTGCTTTGTAAACCCAGTCATCTGTGGCTTACCAAACCTTCCAGGTGATCTTCATAAGCAGTGATATTTAAGAACTGGTGACTCTTAAGGAATGTGGTGGTTTGAATGAGAATGCCCCCATAAGCATGTGTGTTTGAATGCTTGATTTCAGTTGGCAGAACTCTTTGAAAAGGATTGGGGCATTGGGAGGTGTAGCGTTTTTGGAAGAGGTGTGTTACTAGATGTGGGCTTTGAGATTGTAAGAGCTCATACCATTCTCTCTCTCTCTCTCTCTCTCTCTCTCTCTCTCTCTCTCTCTTTCCTTTCTGCCTTATGTTTGTGGATCAGATGTAAGCTCTAAGCTACTGTTCTAATGCAATGCTTGCTTGCCTGCCAGCCTCCCTGCCAGCCTGCCTGCAACCATACTCCCTGACATGATGGGCACAGAGTCTGATCCTCTGGAAATATAAACCCCAATAAACCCTTTTTCTATAAGTTGCCTTGGTCATGTGTTTTGCTTCAGAAACAGAAAGTTAACTAAGATAAGGACTGAATTGAAATTCAATTGAAAAGAAATTCAACACTGAATTTCCCCTATGAAATTCATGTGTTGAAACCTTAACTCCTACTCCATTGTTTTTAGAGATGAAGCCACTAATGAGAATGGTAATTTAGGGTTAAGTGGGGAAAATAAAGGTGGGGCTCTAATCCAACAGGACTAGTACCCTTAAGAAGAGGAAGAAACACTAGGCATAGCTCCCTTTCCATGCACAAAAAAAGGAAAATTCATGTGCAAACTCATTGAGAAGGTGGTACCTTATAGCAGGTTATAACTGAACACAGTTATCCAAATCTGGTAAAGCCCATATCGTGTCACCCCAAGCCACTAAATACTGGACCCAGAGCTGTACAGTTTGTCCTGATAGGTTTCAATTTTGCTTTGGTCCAGTTTTTCCTTGATTTCCTCTCCTCCCTTTCCTTTGGACTAGGAGTGTCTATTCTATACCTATCAAAGTGTTTTTGAAAGATGTAACTTCAAAACAAATTCAGGCACTCACAATTAAGAGTTTACCTTGAGTCTTAGAAGAGACGTTGGCTTTTTGAACTGTTACATTTTTTTAAGAATTGCAGGACTGTTAAGATTTTGGGAACTCTCTTACAGATGAGCTACATATATGTTGCCATGAGCCTTTGAGTATTGTAGTAGACTTATTGTTAAAAAGAGATATACCCGCTATACAGAGAAAACCTGTCTCGAAAAACCAAAAACCAAAAAGAACAACAACAACAAAAAAGAGATGCTCACAAAATCAATTCAGTCAACATTCAAACATGGAGCAGGGAGGACTTCATGAGCTCCAATTCCAAGCTGAAGAGCTATCAATAGTTGGCTTCTTGGAAAATGGAGAGTCAGTTCTCTTTAAGGGTGTGGCCAATGGTAGATTGAATGTACTTTGGTGGATGGCTCTACACGCAGGATTAAATAGGCAGTATAAATTAGATTCAGTGGGTTATAACAAACAAAACTGCACAAACAGAAGATGAAATTGGGTGGACTGATTTGAGAGAAATTAGAGTATGAAATGACCAAAATACATTGAATGTGTGCATGTATATAATTCTCAATAAATTAAATTATTATACATTTTTTAAAGTGATGTGCATGGATGTCAAGTTGATAAGGGGAGGACTTGTGGTGATCAATCTTAATTGCTAACTTGACAGCGTAGGACTTTCAGGTCTAAATGTAGGACTTTCAGGTCTCAGTTTGAACTTAAAATTGAAAGAATCCCGCTGTCCCAGGACACATTCCAGGAGAGGAACATTCCTTAGTCAGAGGACACTTACTGGGTTAACATTCAGAGGAGGAAGGGAGAGGCTGATTAACATTCCTCAGACCACGGGGGAGGGAACCCACCTGCAGGTGAGGAAGGCCCAGAGCACATAGACAGACAAGGGAGGTCCTTGCCACCTCATTCCCCAAAGACCAATCAGTTTAAAAGTCACACTGTTCTGCCAATCATATTGTGCCTAGTCAGTGTTTCTCTATTCTACCCCTTAAACTGTATAAAAACTGTTCTTAGCTCCAACTCGGGGTTCTCTTCTTGCTTGCATGCGAGAACCCCAGTATACTGGAATCATTAAACCTCATGTTAATTGCAGTGAATCCCGTCCTTGAGTTTCTGTGGGAGTGAGTCCCCTGGTTTTGGATCTTAGAGTCCAACAGATAGGATTTGAGATAGTCTAGGAGACACATCTCTAAGGCTTGTCTATGGCAGTGTGGCTGTGCAAAGAGACAGAGAAACATCCTGGTACCTACTTCTAGCCACATTCAGCAGCACACCTTCCCACCCAAGAGAGAGTTTATCTTAGGTTAAATCTCTACTTGATGTGCCAGAAATAGAGAGAATAGCGTAGACTCAAAGAATAGTCTGTAAATAATAGTGGTATGAGAGGGAACTCATACAGACGAAGAGGTCAGCTTAGAAGCTTTGGAAAGATCCTGCAACACTTGTTCCTCTGGAATGGAGAAGCTAATTAACATTTCTCAGATGGGGGGATGGGAATGACCTGTGGGTGGGGACACATTCTGTAGGATGTACCAGTTGGTCACCTACAGACAAGGGAAGTCCTTGCCACCTCACTCCCTAAAGACCAATCAGTTTGAAAAGTCACACTGTTCTGCCAATCATATTGTGCCTAATAGCTGCTGCCCTGAAAACTATATAAAAAGCTCACTGAATGAGCTACGCATGGCGACACTTCATCTTAGGTGTAGAACGACCCCAACTTGTTGGAACAATAAATTCCTCTTGCCTTTTACATCGATTCCCAGCTCCATGTGGTTCACTCAGGGAGTCCCCAGTAAGCTAAGGCTCAGCAGAGTCTTACACAGAAACAACACAGAAAGCAGAGTGTTGGTCCAAAGATGGTTCTGTGCTTGCTGAGTCCTGCTTTGTCGTATGTAAGGGATGGCATGACATGGTTCTGCCCCCGAAACAGAGCCAACAGAGCATGAGCCTCTATGAGTGTTGATGGTCATATGCTGTGGGCATAAGGCTTATTTGTATAATAGTGTACATATTTTCATGTTCCTCCTTCAAGGAATGTCCTCTCTGCCAAGGGTAATGACTCCATGATAATCAGAGACAGCTCAAATCCAGCAGGAGAAGGTGTGTCTATATCTCAGAAAAATGGTAGAAGCCTGTGACCTTCAGAACAGCCCTTAAGAATGTGGGAAAGAACTCTAAAAACATGAGTTCAAACACATATAATTTCTCAACTATGCAAAATATAAGGAACCAATATGAATTATATGAGGGGCTTCTAAGACCTAGAAAAACAGGGGTAACTGCACTATGAATCTGCTTATCGGAAAGGTACAAAGACAGGCAAATAAAATGGCAATAGATTCCTGAGTTCAAGGTCAGCCTGAGACAGATCGGAATTTAGGTCCAGGCACAGTAGAAACAGTAACCTCAGAACAAGGTCCCACCCAGCTAAATTTAAGAAGGCAGGTATACCTCTGAATTCTTTTTGCAGTGTTAAAAAAAGAACAAAAGAATTACTTCTTATCCTTTTCCTAAGAGTCAAGGGGCTAATTTGTGGGATGGTCAAGATGGAACCTGAAATAAATAGCAGAATTGATATGTAAATAAAAAACTGGGCTTTGGGTCTGTACAAAATGAGGTAGCAGAAAGCTATGACACTTCTTTAGAAATTTTTTCTAGTGAGAGCTGAGCTGTCAGGAGATCTCTGGAGAGTCAACACAGCTCCTCAAGGTTTTTTCTAACAGGACTTCCAATTTTGGTTGGAAAATGCATGGACTGTGAACACGACTCTTAAAATTTTTCAATACTCTTTTAGAATTTTTTCTAAAAGGATTTCTGAGCTTGGTCGGGAATCCCAAAAATTTCTTAGAGAGCAAGCATAGCTCTTTTAGAATGTTTTCTTTCAGCTAAGCAGAGAAGGTCACCTGAAGAGGACGCAGCTCTTTTGGGATATTTTCTGGCTTTCTGATTTTGATACTTTTAGGATTTTTCTAACAGGATTTCTGACTTGGTCAGAAAATCCAAGAATTTTCTATAGCAGCTCTTCTAACTTTGTTCAGAAAACCCAGGAGCTATCCAGAGTTGTTTTAGAATTTTCACCATCAGAGAGAGCTGTCTCAACCAGACAGAGTAGTGTTAAGCAGAAAGCTAGCTGTCTCAGTTAGAGAGATTTTTAAAATAGCAACAAAAAGCTGTCTCCAGCAGAACACAAAGTGGGGAGGGGAGGGGAGGGAGAGGAAGAGGAAGAAGAAGAGGAAGAGAGAGAGAGAGCAATCTGAAAAGCTGTCTCAACCAGACTACAAAGCCAAGAGCTATCTACAGAGAGCTACCTACGGAGCTATCTGGAGCAGAACATAGGCTGTCAGTTTGAACTCATGATTTGACTTCCAGTCCTTTGTTTCATGGCTCTCAAACATCCCCTCTCAGAACTCCCCTCAAGCTGAGGATAGTCCTTGGCATGCGTTCATGTTTGAAGATGGTAATGATGATGATGATGATGATGATGATGATGTTTGAAATGATGACAAAGCTTTGAGGGTCAAAAAGCTTCTAAAAGAAGCAGAAGATAAATGTTCTCAGAACTAAACAAATTTAATTGCTAGAAGACTACATTTAAAGTCACAGGGTTGAGTTCCAGTCAAATTAATTTCCTGCTGGCTTTGGCAACAGGTTGTGATGTTTTACTTTGTCCAGGACAATTCGGAAATACGCCCAGTATCTGCAGAATGGAGAATAAGAAAAAAACCATTGCATGAAATTTCTTAAGAAACGACTGTCTGTGGTAGGCAGACTACTACCATGAAGCTTTTGTAGTGGAGAAGAAGAACTGAGCTCAGCTCCAAATACAGTATCAGTAAGTGGGGCCTTATAAATAAGCATCAGGGTAATATGTTTTCATTACAAAGACAACATCATTTTATAATGCCATTTTTTACTTTATACCATTTTAATGTCATAAAATAGTATTTTAATATAATACCCAGTAACCCTTACATAGATGTAACATTTTTTAGGACTTGCAGACTTCTCTCTAGAAAAACTATAGCTAACTTTTTCCATTATAAGTCCATCAGTCATATTTAGCATATGGTCCTACCAGTGATGTTATCAGTATTTTTCACCACCACCAATTTGAGAGGGAAAACAGAGTGCAGAGTTGTAGGTTTCAATTTGCATTTCTTAGATTATGTTTAAAGTTATCCATCTTATTTGGTTATTAGGTATTTATGTTACTGATCAGAAATGTTCACATCTTTTGTTTTTTTGTCCATGAAGAAAATCACGCTTTTATAAATTATTTTAATATCAAACACATTTATGTTTACCCTCTATCCTGATAGTATTTTTAAATACTTTTTTGAGAAATAATTAGGCTCTAAGGTACAATGTTACATACATGTTGACAACATTTACAAAGATTTGTGTGTGTGTGTTCTCTTTTTTGTTAACTATATTTTTTAAAGATTTCTTTTCATTATTTTTGATTATGTGTATGTACGTGATTGTGTGCACATGATATGATAGAGGTGTTAGAGCCTCATGGAGCTGTAATTACAAGTAGGTGCGAGGTATCTGATGTGTGCTGGGAGTTGAACTTGGATCCACCAGCAGAGCAATATATGATCTTAACCACTGAGCCATCTCTTCTGCACCTTGACCATATGCTTAAATACCATCAGATACCAACATCACTACCAACATTAAAATCACGATCAACTTTAACATTTTCTCCAAGTATTCTTTCACTCTTTACTTGAGTTGTTTCACTATGACTGTTGAATGGCATTTCACTAATGCCAGTGAATGCTGGATTTCTTTAGGGAACTGGGCAGCAGATGAACTGGAGGTTTTTCTGTGAAAAGTCCAACCCTCAGATGATTTCAGTGGGAAGAGCTATAGGCCTAGTGATAAGGAATGGTATCAGACTTTGTGTTCACAATACCCTTAAACTGTTCTTAAACAATGGCAATGCACACAGACTCTCCTCTTCCTCTCCAAGTTTCCTTTTCTATCTCTCTAGAACATGACTGCTCTATCTTGAAGGATTTTTGTGAGGTGCACATGACAGAATACATAGAGTGTTTAGTTCCATGACTAACACTTGGCAAGTACACCACAGAGCTTCCATCTTTTGTTAACTTGATGTAATTCCATTATTCTTTTTTGTGTGGTGGTTTATAAAAAAAGCAAACAACAACAACAAAAAAAAACCCTACAATCACCACCCTTCTCCAGGTTTGTCATGGAACTATTATAAAATGAGAACATTATTATTTTTGGTCATCCCTATGACCCTTTTTTATAATAAGAAACTTTAAAGAATGGTCTAGGCTGCCTACTGAACAACTTACCAAGGAAAGTATTACTATAGTAACATAAATTATCTCTTGCAAGAAGAGGCATAAATATGCAAAGATATTGAGAAATTTATGTGTAAGGTGGATGTGTAAAAGTAAATGCGAAGTTGCTTTCCCTGAAAGAGAACAATGAGCCGTAGGACCTACCACTGCCAAGGACCAGCCTGGGCTTGGAGAGAGGTTCTGAGTAAAGGGTGTCTGGGAGTGGCAAAACAAAGGATTCCAACTTAAATCATGGATTCAAGTTGATGGTCTATGTTCTGCTCAAGACAGCTTTCCATACTGCTCTCATGTGTTCTCTCTCTCTCTCTCTCTCTCTCTCTCTCTCTCTC